ACACACACATACACACATACACACGCGCGCACACACACACAGACACACACACAGACACACACGCACACACACACACACCCACACACACACACACACACACACACCCGGCGGCATGTCCAAAGTCACTCACACTGAGACTCGGTGCGGGCAGTCAAGAACTAAGCCTTGCAACATGGCGTGACTTGATAGTGTCCAATCGTAGCATCGTAGAGTCATCTTATGCCCTTCTACTTCGATACTGCCAGCGGCACTTCGTTGCCAGATTCAGATGCTGTGTGGAAAGATGCAGCCACAACCCAAGGGACTAAGGATTACCGGGCACACTGCGGCGCCTAATGAAGAGCTGTGCTAGCTCCGTGCGTGAATGGCGCTGCCTCTCCATGCAGTTGGGTTTCCAGTCTTGGGGAAGCATCAAAACAGCCCACTTCAACCCATAGCAACAGAGCTCGAGAACATGAAGCGGAATTCCTGCACCTCGAAGAAGCGCTCGCTTTACAAACAGAGAGCGCCTTACAAGGGCTTTGCGTGGGACAGTGAGCCCGACCAGGGAAAAAAGTTGCCGTAAATCCTCCTCGCGGCACTCAGGTCTTCTTTCTCTATCTGCAGCGTTACTGGTTGGGTAGATGGGCGGAGCGGGCAGCCGTTTTCAGGACAATTCTTTGCTGGACATGTCTATGACTGCTTGTGTCCGTGGCTCAATCCGAACATCATCGCCAAAGAGTGTCATGCACACGATATCCGTGCCCTAACCAGCCCAGCAACTGCAACAAGACTCGAGAGGCCCCGCACCGTGGGACCAGAGCAGACCAAACAGCTCGCCCTGCAGCAGCACGAAACCATGCAGCATTAGCCGCGCCCGACGTAGCAAACGTTGCGGAAAACGCCATCATTAGCCAACTGATACGTAGATGCGCTGCCGCCGCGGTCTTTGAGACTCGCTTGCCCAGCCGGGTCGGCGTGGAGGGCTGAGCATCACGAGCGGAGAGTATTCGCGCACCGGCATGGGTTGTCGAACTGAGGCAATGCAACGTGAGGCACCCGCCCCGCCCTCTCCATTGGCTCTGAAGCCGCAGGGGGCTTAATTGACTGGAAGCCCAAAGGGCGCTTGACATGCTGATTCACAGCTCGAATGGCCGTGGCTTCGCGCCATGACCTGGGTTTTGTTAGCTCTAGGCTCGGTTCAGGGTCCGAGCTTGTCCCCTGGTTCTCTTCTTGATTCTGAGCGGCTAAGGGCGGTCTCTCAGCGGCGAGCTTTGGAGCACTTGGCGGAATGTAGCCAGGCAAGCTGGGCAAACTTCTCAGCGGTGTTGGAGCTGCAAAAAAAGGGCTTTGATCCTGCGGCCGTTCCGAGATGTTCCGAGTCGAACTGGGCTATCAGAAGTATGATCAGGTTGCAGCAAGTAAACAGAGGCATCCGGAAAGAAAGAAAGTATCAGTGCATGATGGAGTTATGAGTGAACGCATGGAATCATGTACGCGTGGACGCATGTACGTGTGCGATGTCACGAGAGCATAGCCAGCCGAGCGTGAGGTGGATCTCCTGGAGCAGCTGAAGGAGCTGAAGGTTCAGCGATGGGAGCGCTGTGTCTGGACCTCGAATCTCACACTCAAAGTGCTGCTGGCAGGGCGCGATGTATAGCTTACACCAGGTGGCGTCCTCATGGCATCCAGTCCTGAACCGCTTTGACAACATTCTGGCAGCTCCTTGCCTGGATATCAAGTTGCATGAGGTTCAGGGGTGGTGAATAAAGCAACCCACAGAATGAACATCAGTCTATCAGAAAAACCCAAGCATCCCTTGGTTTGGGTTTCTGCTTGTCCGCCACGGCTGCGTGTCCTGACTGTAGGCCTTTGCTGACCCCTCCCAGCGAGCAGCAGACGGAGCTCCCGACGAAGAGCTTGTTTGCGAGGCATGGTTGAGGGTAAGAATCACCTGTCGCTGCAGAAGGGGGTCCTGAATCAGTGTGTGGATGCAGGTGCTGCGGGTCTTACACGATATTGTTTTCCTCCACCAGGAGCTGAAGGGCAAGCACCCAAGGGGAGCCAGAAGTGTTTAAAGCTGCTGGAGGTGTGACGAGAGACCGACGAGTCCAAGTCTATCTTGTACAGTATCATGTTGACCTCTTCGAGGAAAGGTAGGACCTTGCTACCGAAAGCTGTCCAAGGTGCGGTGGACCGCCTCCGAGACTTGTTGCAGTGTTGGTGCCTGAGTAGACTTTGTGAGAGCAGGGTCGCCTTCACTTGAGTCTCGAAGGAAGCGTTATCATGTGTTGCTGGCATGCCACAAATCAAAGGCTCAGAGCTGAAAGTGCTCCTTGGTGCTCGGGCCCCACAGCGCCGTGATCACGTCGGGTGAGATTCTTCGGAGGCCTTAACAGCAGCTCGTTTCCGAGGCGCTGCGCTGCTTGGCCGCCTGTCCACCAAGCCACGACCCTTGGGCACGGTGTACCTGAAAGGAAGTTAATGCGTGCACGGTTGCTTGCCGATGAAACCCAGGCCGACATCTTCAGAGCTCTCCTCTGGCGGCCGCCATGGAGCGAAGATTAGAGGCGAGACGCTGGCTATAAAAAAATCCCCCCTTCGGTGGAAAATGAAGAGAACACCAGCAAAGGTCCTCGCTTGCTGTGGTGCCCCGAGACGGAGCCTCAGTCGACTTCTCAGATCAGAGCGGCTGGGATCCAGCGTTGCACCTGAGGCGTTCTCGGGAGCACGGGTTTCCGGGATGCCTGCAGCTCGGAGGCTGGGAGTCCACCCGGGCTTGAGAACTTTCTAGGGTTCGAGTCGAAGAAGTCTCTGTTAAAACAGGCTGTTCAGCTGAACCTTTTCTCTGCATGCCATCGGTCAGACCTGTGCAGGACTGCGAAGTTGCTGATTTCGAATTCGAGATTCCTGAAAGTGCAGTTGGGAACCCAGCTTCGGACGTGCTGGCACATCTCGAGTCCAGGCCCAAGGCGGCTGCTGTTGCCGCCGTTTTTGTTGTTGTTGATGATGAGGAAGAGATTGTTGGTGGTGGCTGGCCGTTGCCAATCATCAGTCGGGTGGTAAGCCTTATGATGATGATGATGGTGATGATGATGATGATGATGGTGATGATGATGATGATGATGATGCAGGATAATCATCACCATCATCATCATCATCATCATCACAATCAGCATCATCCGCCTCATCGTTGTCCTCGCCCTCCCTCCTGTACCTCCTCCTTTGCACCACCCCACCGCCACCACCACCACCACCACCGCCGCCGCCGCCACCGCCGCCGCCGCCACCGCCGCCACCGCCACCGCCACCGCCACCGCCACCGCCTCCGCCTCCGCCACCGCCACCTGCTGCATCAGTTGGTCTGCTGACGCAGCTCATGTGTCTGTCTATGTGCCGACAGCATCCTTGACAAGCGAAAGAGATGCCATGCAAGCATGCAAGCATTCTGCAGGAATGGTCGGGCCAAAAAAAACTGTGATTGCAGTGAGCTGTGCCGCCAGGGAACCAATCCTTCAGAGCCTTCGGTGCTAAAGGCACGATGTAGATCGGTAGCGCCGTATTCCGTTCGTAGGTGAGTCATCGGTCATAGTCGTGAAAGTGCGTACAGTGGCTGGCGAAGCCGCTTGCGCAGGTACCTGCAGCCTCTGTTCAGCT